TATCGCAATATTAAAACCTCGATCTTAGAAGTGATAAAGAGGCATCCACTAACATGACACACCTACTATTGCTTAATTGTCTATGCTTTTCATCGTTAAGATCTTTCATGTACTAACAAATGAAATTAATCACATAGCACACCCGGAGGAACAAACAAAACTTACATTTGGAGCGCGTCAAGAGAAACTGGGGGAAGCAGGCATTCAGCTACCATATGTAGCCTACGGTGTAGACCCCAGCAGAAACGTGTTTCTGCTAGGGTCTACACCGTAGGCTAGCTACCATATGCTGCTAAGGACTGAAACAGTGTACCGATTGATACAGAACAATTTACAACATTTAAAAATAAACTTGTCATTTGTCAGGCTTTAACATTAATATTTTCATTATCATTATTATTAGTAGAATATATTACTACTATACCTCGTATAGGCTATATTAGTTTTTCTTTTTTGGGTTTTTTAAATTTTTATATATATTTTTTGTTCACGGTTCCACTAAAGATCACTCTTGTGAGTGGACCTCAACTATTGTAATTATTAAGTGAAATTAATCGCTTGGCCTTGGGTGTGGACTGGGTCGATTTTAATCTCGTCTGCGGGACTAATGCGGCTAGGATGGGCCAAGCAGGATTAGAAGTCTTACCTACAATAATTTATATCAGCACACTCCCAATCAGGGGAGTGAGCTGAATAATAATGTAATGTAATTTATTATATAAAGTATAGTGCTTTATGTACTATTTAAGACATTTAAAGCACGCGTAGGAGTGTTTTATCAGATATAAAACGCGAGGCGCAGCCGAGCGTTTTATATCTGATAAAACACGACTACAAGTGCCTTCTGATGAGTACATTAGCGAAGTAATTTTTAAAATAAACTTTGTCTAAACCGAGAAAATCAAAGCTAAAGTTTATGTAAATTAACATGATTTTTTATCACATATAAAGATACGACACGCTTATGATTTTTCTTTGTGTTTTGCTCCTGAATTATTAATGAGTTTTTTAAAGAGATTTCAAAAACTCATTAATAATTCATGAAGCAATTATCCAATCTTGAGTAAGAAATTAGTCACGTGCATACGTCTTTATACCAGCTAAAGAACACTTTAACAAAAGACCATTGTTATGCAAACTATATAAAGATTTTTATATAAAGATTTTTATATAAAGATTTTTATATAAAGATTTGACTTATTATGCATACGTTTTTGAAGTTATTTAAAAAACTCGCGGGTCGTGTTTTATTAGGTCTAAAGCCACTCGCGCTGCGCGCTCGTGGCTTTAAACCTAATAAAACACTCCTGCTCGTTTTTTAAATAGTACTTCGAGCACTGATAAAAGTGATAATCTCACATGTGAGATTATTTATGATAATCTCACATGTGAAAATCATCGCTTTTCAATTATCGCGTTTCTGTAAAAATTATCGCTTTTCAAAGACTGTTCTTTATATAATAAACAGAAAAATACATGGGTGCTTGGAAATACCAGATTTATTTCTCTTGTTGAACATTATATCTCACTTGTTCGCTGCGCTCACTCGTGAGATACGATGTTCAACACTCGAAATAAATCTGGTATTTCCGCGCACTCATGTATTATTCTCTATGTAATATATGACCAGTTGGGATATTTAATTATTTTGTACTTTTCAGATTTGGCTTAAAAAGTGTCTGAATTGTTGTCTCACCTTAAGTAATTTATTCTACTAATGAGACATTTGCAGTATCGTATAATTGTGTTGCTGATTTTAGTCTGTGTGATGTCGTCATAATAAGATTTTATCACATCAGTTGTTCTGTGGTGAAGACTGAGCACGCTGAGCATACATGGTAACAACAAATGTCGTAATAGCGATGTCGGAAATTATTAGAAAATTGATATTAAAGTGGCAGCTAACAGGAATAATGTTTACATTTCAGTAGGGGGTAGGAAATGCTTCTGTTTTGGCTTCCCTTATTAGCTACACGATCGATCTGCACGATATCATCAATACGCTCAGGCTTGAGTGTGGTGGCTTATTTGAGAATATTACATTTGTACGAGGGCTTACCACTTATCGCTTACCACGAAAGTATGAATATCTTACCAAGAAAGTATGCATTTTAGAATCTGATCGCTGCCCCTTAATTCATATAGGCAAAACAGGGCAAATTACGACGTCTAGCAAACGTGTTTTTACAAAATCGGGTTTGAAATAATTTCTAAGTTTTCCCTACTTACGTAACTTCTTTGGGCTGAAGTTGATATGCACTCGTGGCCTGGTGATGAGCACGAAGCATATATATAGGAGTAAACCTCTAACTTTTAGACTTAGGCCCTGTCCTAATAGGGCCTAAGTCTGAAAGACGAGCAATCGACAAGCAATCGCGGTTTGAAAATGGGGTATTTTTTCTATATTTTAATGCCGATGGCGGGAATAGACCGGGTGTTGATCCTCATGGCGCGAAGGAAACTATTTTCTATGATATCTTTTATAATCTTTGAAACATACGCATGTAGTTGTTACATACTTTGAGTGTAATGTTACCTTAAAATTAAGGTCAGAATGTTAGTTTACTGTATTGACTGTATTTTTGTCATTTTGTTGTAGCATTCGTACATGGAAACATGCAGATAGCAGTGACGTTGTCATTGTTGACGAATGAAATGATACTGCCATATTAAAAGCGAGTATATACGAGGGTATATACGTCTAACGGTGATACCCCAGGGAAACGTAATAATAAGAGACACAGAATTTCACGTTTGAAGAATTCAACATCAAGTCGAACTTTGTTTCAGAGTCCTGGAACATCACCAAAGGTATAAAAGTACAAAGGTGTTTACAAACATAAAATACAGTATGACTGTACAAAAACATTGTATTTTGAACCCTTTAAGTTGCAATGCGCCCTGATGCACCCTACTTTAGTGTTTTACTCTGTCTAACGCTAGACGATTTTACTCCTCAAATGGAGAGTGCTGCCACTCAATAAGTTATTGAGACAATGAGATGTTAATGGGGGGGGGGGGGCTAAAAGTTATTATAATAGTAACAGTAACATTGCATTTTAATGCTTTTTTGCCTGTGAGAATTTCTGTCCATAGGCGTACGAGGCTGGGGGTTGCAACCCTCCAGTCAGTGTTCAGTTGGGCAGAATTCTGCTTTAAAAATTGGGCAATTGTTTTAAGATTGACTTCAAACAGTATTTCTGCAAGTCTGCATAGGAGTTATGTTCCTTCTATTTTATAACTCTTGTTCATCTATATATTAACTCATGACAATGTCGGGCAATTTCTGTCCACCCGTACGCCAATGATATTTTTCAATGCTGGGAGTGGCATTTCAAAAAACCTATATTGCACAAATTTCCTGGAGAAGCATGCCCACAATCCTGGTAAAAATCTATGAGTTTCTTTGTTGTTGTCTAATGGTGCTGGCACTGACATTGCCCCTCTCACGTTTGCTGTTTGTTTTGTAGTTTCCTGTTACAAAGATTAAACCAACTCCTCCATAGAAATCCCCTGGCCAGTAAAACTTCATAAATGGACATGTGAGGAAGATAAAGCATTCATTGAATTCATATCTGTTGCAGATAATCATGCGAATGATTGCAATTGAAGAGGTTTACCAATTATGTAATACCTCTAGATTGTTTTAATACATCATTAAGCTCATATACTATTCATGTGTACTGGTGAAATGAATGTAATGCAACATTTTAAAAACTTCTCTTTATTTTTTTTTCTGTGTTGGTGTTGTGTACTCAGGTGAATATGATGTTTGTGATGTTACTCTGAGTGTATATCCACACCGGGCGAGCTTGAAAAATATGCCCGGACACTAGCCCAATGCTCTGCCAACTGAGCTACGCGGTCAGGACGGTTCGAGTAAGTGATAGTGTTCCAAAGGTCGTAGGTTCGAATCCCACCGTGGCCGGGCATATTTTTCAAGCTCGCCCGGTGTGGATATACATGTGCTATACTTTATGTTAGATTTATATTTGAAACACTGAACTGCACATATAAATGGACAGTAAGTAAAACAGTTTATTCGCTTTATATTTGGAATACTGACTAAGTTTTGTACATATTTATAATTATATTACATGGTTATTGTTATACACATCTTCGAATCCTGATATAGGATATTCAATATGAAACATGGTCCTTCTTTGAGCCGGATTGAAACGGATTGAAATTTGATATTTTGAGAACACTTCAAGAAATACGAGCCAATTTACGAGTTATTTGAGAGAATTTACGAGTCCTTCCGGAGAATCTACGAATAATTTACGAGCTTCGAAAGAATTTACGAACGATTGAGTGAAATATTTACGAGATTTTGAGCGATATACGAGTCATATAAAGCGAACATCGAGACATTGGCAAATCTACGAGTATCTGAGTAAGTCTATATACGATTATTTGAGCGATTATATTACACTTACAAGTGTTTGAAATTATTATATACGAGCTTTAAAGAGAAATAAACGAGAAATTGCGCCTTAGAACAATATACAGTAACTGTGAACTAAAGGGATTATTATAAGGTGTTTATATACATTTTGAGAAGTTAAGATAAAGAGTATACACGTATTCGAGAGTGTAATATTGGTATTATGAGTGAAGAAGCAACAAAGAAACGTAAGATTCGGGGTGGACATAGAACCTCAACTAAGAGGACAATAAATGCTTCATCAACAATTCTTGACGATTTTGATCCTTCAAATAAACAACTTACCGAGAAGTTATTGCAACAAAGGATTACATTAAAGGAAAAACTAGACATTCTGCAAAATTTAGACAATGATATGCTAGCTATTACTGAGGAGAAAGATACTGAAAAAGAGATTGAAGAAAGTGATCTTTTAAGAGAAAGAATACATGCTACAATTGTCAGAATTGATTTCCCCGCTTTGTACACGACTTTAAAATCATATTGCTGCAACCGCAGGATCCATCTTTCGATCCTAGCTGGGGGTTTTGACAAGGGATTTGCATAAATGAGTTCAAGCGGTTTGTGATCTGTGTATAGTGTAAATGGGGCCCCATACAGGTACAGATGGAAGTGCTCTATACCCCCAAACAATCGCAAGAGCTTCCTTCTCGGTCTGAGAATAGCGTTTCTCAGTTGATGTGAGTGCTCGACTACCATAGGAGATTGTGTGTGTTTTTGTGGAACATTTGGCTCTTTGCGCTAGAATTGCACATAGTCCCACTGGACGCCAATCAACTAATATGACAGTTTCTTTGCCCGGATCAAAATAGCTCATCACAGGTTTACTTATCAAGGCAGTTTTTAGTGTTTGGTATGCATTCTCTTGTTCGTCCCCCCATGTAAATGGGATGTTTTTGTGTGTAAGCATACGAAGTGGTTCTGTGATGGTGGCAAAATTAGGCATAAATTGTGCACTAAAGTTTGCCATCCCAAGTAAGCTACGGACTTCACTTGGGGTTGTTGGAGTGGTACTGTTCGCAAGGGCTGATATTTGCTTTGGGTCTGGACTAACACCGTCCTTAGAAAACACCAGACCAAAAAAATCAAGGTTCTGTTTCAAAAACAAGCACTTACCCAAATTCAAGGTTAGTCCATTGGCCTCCAATCGTTGTAGGCATTCTTCCAAAGATGTGTTATGCTCTTCATAAGTGCTTCCAAATATAAGAATGTCGTCTGCGATATTCCGTACGCCCTTGATGCCTTGTAATACTTGCTGTAACGTATGTTGAAATATCTCTGCCGCCGAGTTAGTTCCGTAATTAAGTCGCTTGAATCTATATATACCATTATGTGTGGCAAATGTTGTGATGTGTCTACTACTTGGAGATAATTCTAGCTGATGGTACGCTTGCGTCAAGTCCAGTTTTGTGAAAAACTTAGCATCGTTTAGTTCCAACGAAACATCCTTGACGGTTGGAATTGGGTGTCGAACACGTTCGATTCCATTGTTCGCTGCTCGCATATCAACACATAACCGTATATTATCGTCTTTCTTAGGAACAATAACCAGAGGAGAAATCCAGTCTGTTTCTTCGGTGTCGGGTACCGGTTCAATGATATCATCATGTTCTAATTTGGACAGTTCACGTTCTACTTTTTCGCGCAAGTTAAATGGTATTCGACGTTGTTTTTGAGCCACTGGCTTCACGGTTTCGTCGATAATTAGCTCGATTTGTTTGTTTTGTAATTTGCCTTGTCCTTGAAAAACACTGGAATGATTGTTTACAATATGCTGTACACCTTTGTCTGGAATATTCACTTGTTGTGCTGCTTTGCTGTTGGGTTTTGTAGTTTTAACTTGGTTCAAATGTAGTGTGATAAGCCCCAAGTCTTCGGCCGTATTTGCACTAAGGAGACATCCCCCGTCAGCTTCTGTCACATAAATGGTTGCCACAGTGATCCTCTTCCGCGATTCGACAGTGGTTTGAAACTTGCCTTTCATTTTGACTGGTATAAGCCTTGATATGGGTCTTGCGAAGTGTGATTGGTCCCAGTTGTTTGAGGGTAGACTGGTTGATGACATTAATAGTGGATCCTGTGTCTACGGTGAATTTCACATGATGTTTGTTTATTATGACCTTAGTAGTGGGGTTATTTTTAGCTGTTGTCTTGACCGCATAACAATAGCTGGACTCATCACTTGAACTGGATTCACTTTGATTATCCGGAGGGCCAACAACCGGTCGGATCTTGTTGCCCCGGCGATTATTCTCTGGATAATGATTCGGTACTTCGTTGTCGGGTTTCGACGAGCGACATTGTCTGGCGAAGTGATTTATCTTGCCACACTTTCTGCATTCTTTGCCACGAGCAGGACAATTGCCCTTCTCGTGTGGCCATTCTCCGCCACAATTTCGACAAGTGCCTTTGGAAGGCTGTTGACGCGTGTTTTTCCGTAGAGCGTTTAGTTCCTGCCGTTCAAGTTGTTTTTGTTCAATGTCGGCCACTTGAAAGTTACTCATTTCTATCTGCCTACCGGCGATCAGTAAGTCTTTGAGCGTCATTTTAGGGTCCCGTAACGCTTGCTTTCGAAGTCGGCTTGATGATCCTTTTGACCTTTTAGGACAATTTGTAGCATAATTTCAAAGTCCATATTCTCAAACTGGCATCGTTCGGCTAGGCTTCGCAACCGAGTTTGGTATTGATCAATTGATTCATTGTTCTCTTGAGCGGCTTGGCGAAATTTGTATACCTCATAAAGGCGATGCTTTTGGTGTTCAAAGTATTCGTTCAACTTTGCCACTGCTGTTTCCAAATCATCCCCAGTGTCCGAGAGCTGGCGAAATATTTCACGAACCCGCGCGCCAGCTTGACACAAAAGCAATGCACGTTGTCGTTTCTTGTCAGTTATGCCCGTTGCGACTAGATACATCTGAAAATCCATATCTTCCATTTTGGAGCGAGATTTGTTCCAATTTCGTTGTCCGGATCAAAAGGTGGCATGGGTTGTACCATAGACCCACTTGAAGTGGCCATCCTCGTCGCCAATGTTGTGTTTTATGCTTTTATTGTATAACTATAATATTTAGTACAAACTACCTCGCTCACAATCTAAAAACTGATCCCCTGTCCGAGCATGACCATGTCTCCTATGTCCTAGTGACGTATCATGTCCGTGACGTCATAGAGACGTAGTCACTACAGTACCCACAATTTGTCAACCTGTCAGACACCAAACAACTCAAGCGGCACAGGAAATTTACTATCATCTCGAAGGTCTTAATCTTGCAGATCTTAATACTGGCGAAGAATAATGACCTTTATTTGTACCCTTTACAACAACAAAAATTTAAACATTTTACACAATTAATGATTAAATAAAATGGGTACTAGCTACTTAAAATAACCATAAGGCTAGAGACCAAGCAGCTAATAAATATTGATATGAATATAAATTATCAATAGGTCGTAACACATATATTGTGGAAAAACAAACACACAGACGAATACATACACACACACCTAGACAAGGCTATTTATATAAATCTTATATAAGTAGAAATTATTATACAATTATTAGAAATTATATAAGATTAATATACAAATATAATAGTTGAAAACGTAAAATATTATGGACAATAAAGACTCATTTCAAAAAATCAATATTTGAGGAAAAATATTTCCAGAATTTTCTTTTTAAACTGATAAGCAGACAGCAATTTTATATTATTATCAATTGTGAATAAATGAGTTCCATATCTTAGCTCCTTGAAATCTAATATTAAATAGTCCGTAATTTGTCCTTACTATGTCAATAAAGTAAGATATGTTAGAGGCTAGTCGTGTGTTATAGTTGTGAACCTGATTGATAGGAGTGAAGAAATAAGAAAAAAATGATGGTAGCTTGTTATTGTAAAATTTGTGCATAAATATTGTTGTATGAAAATTGACAAGATCAGGGAATTTAAGTATTTTAAGATGTTTAAAGAGAGGAGTAGAATGAGCATCAAATTGTGAGAAAGTTATAATGCGGGTTGCCTTTTTTTGAAGAATAAGTAGAGGTTGTGTAAATTTATATATTGTATTACTCCGAACACATGTACAATAATAGTCTTAGTCTTCAAGTTAATTATTAAGCCCGAAGGTCCATACCTAATAGCCTGCAAACAGGCTTGCTATTTATGAGTATCTATTTCAATGTAACTATAAATGTCAATATATCACACCACTCCCCCCTTTAAAAGTATTATGTGTATCTTTCTGGAGGTCTTCGAATTCTTTTTGGATATCTTCTCTCTGGTTGCATTTCCTCTTCTCTGCTGTCAGATTCACTGTCCTCACTGGTACCCAGTGCTGGGTGTCCGACCCCATTCTTCTTTGGTGGATTCCTTGACTTTGGTTTCTTGACAGGTTGAATCTGATAAGGTTTAAGGTAATTGTAATGGACAATTTCTTCTTTAGTTTCATTATTCCTTCTCACTACATAAGATGTTTTGGTTACCGACGTGGGCTTTACCACGACATAGGGTCCCGTCCACCGATCTGCAAATGTTTTTGCTCGTAAATTTCTTTTCCAAACTTGTTGACCCACCCCCAACGATTTAAACGAAGTTTTTCTGTTGTACCGTTCTCTGCGTTTTCCCGCTAACTTGGCATCGGACTCTTGCGCTTTTTGGAATACCTCACTAACAATCTCGCGCAGTCGTTCCGTTTTCTCTCTAACCGTTGCTGGTGATATCTTCTCTGTTATAATTTCGAATTTTGATCGCGGGTGCTCCTTGAAAACTAGCTCGTACGGCGAAACTCCTGTACTTGTATGAACTGCTGTGTTGTATGCTAGTTGTACGTCAGGTAGGTGTTGAGACCATCGGTTGGGATGTTTATCTACCAATTTTGTGAGTGCTTCCCCCATCGTACGATTAATCCGTTCTACACCCGCGTTTCCTTGTGGCCTATAGGGTGGACTGAAAGTATGCTCAATGCCTTGGGTTATGGAAAACTGTTCAAATGTTTCGCTTATGAAACAAGGTCCATTGTCAGAGTGCACTTTGTTTGGTAAACCATATCTTGATATCCAACCCATGAGTGTCTTACAAACAACTTGGCTGGTTTGTCCTCGAATTGGATGCATCTCTGCATATTTTGTACATGGATCTGTTATCACAACAATATTGTCAAATCCCTCTTTCGTTCTCGGTAATGGACCCTTGAGATCTACTTCTATCAACGCAAATGGTTTCTCTTCTTTTGGTCGTTGATGAATGGGTGCTTTTCTATGTCCCTGGGCAAGAGTAGCAGCACAGCGTTGGTACGTTTTTGCATAGTTCTCTACTTCTGCTTTCATCTTTGGCCACCAATAATGAGGTTCAATTCTTGCAAGCATTTTATCTGCTCCTTGGTGCCCTCTTTCGTCATGAGCTAATGATAATATGGTGGGAACAAGCGATGCTGGAAGTAACACTTGCTTCTTATGATCTCGTGTGAATAAACCATGTTCGTTTCGGTGTGTGGAAATATGTGGCTTAAGGGTTGGGTCACGTTCTTGCTGTCCAACCTTACATCCTTGTATGGACCAATCTCGTCTTGAGAGCCACCAATAGTAGCCACTTTACTAGTATCCTCATCTCTCTCTTCCCACTTGACATTCCATCCGATCCGACTAAGAGCATCTGCCATGTGATTATCCTGCCCTCGAATAAACTCTATGCGTGGTTCGAATTCTGCTATATCTCTCATCAATGTCGCTCTTCGTCCAAATGGATCTTTCTGTTCCAGGATCTTTAGAAGAGGTTTGTGGTCGGTCCTCATCACTACTTGTGCTCCTAACAGATAATACCGAAAATGCGAGGCAGTCTCTGTAAGAACCTCATGACCTCTTTGGATCAACAAATAGATTTCTCCCAAACTTTGTAGTTGAGATTGCCTTTATAAGGGTTGTTTCAAAATGCATTTTGTTTTCAGTCTAATTGCATTTTGGCAAAGTTCCAGGGGGGTGAAGTTGAGGGAAAAAATTACGATTTTTGCTGTTCTCAATAGGGGATTTTCGCTGATTTTTAAACCTCTGTACATCAAACAAAAATAATCATAAAACTAAATCTTTCCAGACAATAGTAGCTTTATATGTCTTAAGTAACAAGGTATCTATAAATTTTTCAAATTTGTTTTCTAAATGTAGAAATGACATCATTCATGATAGACTAAAATAGAAATTTCCAAGTTCCTTAAAAATGGGTGAAATAAAAACCCTAAAATTCAAAAGTTAGACTTGCTATGAATGTAATATTATTTGTATGGTGAGATTAAAGGTTGGTCTTACATATTATAAAATAACATATTGCGGCCTGTAAATTTTGGAGGTACTACAGGCCAACAAAACATCAACATTTTCGACTTTCGGCAGTTTGGAGTAAATAAGAACGTTCATGTTTACTGTAAACTCTGCTTTGAAAGAGCAAAATTTTACATATTATTGGACCTAGAACAGTGATGAACATTCGTTTGACCTTTACTGTTGTCTAAAGTCTTTTAGGGAAAAGCACTGACACAGGCATTTCCGTTATGTATGGACGTAATGGACCGTATTGTATAAATAATAAACATTTTCTAGCTGAATATAATCAAGACAAGTTATACATTTGCATCATGTAAAGACGTCCGTTAGTCAACAAATTATCAAACATCGATTTATGTTGAAGATTTATTTAGAAAGTCAAGAGAAAACCTACCCCAATATAATTGATACAAAGTATGCCTCGATCATAGCCTTGTCATTCAATGACCCCGATTGTCAGTTGACTTATTATTTGACGTTCGTTAGCTTCCATTATTCTTTAGTGTTAATCACTTTCGATATCTTAATGACTATTGTAGACACAGTCTCGTATCAGTATAAATCGTGATTCTTCGTCAACAGGCAATGCTAGTCAATTCCTCCATCGTTTAATTTTACTCGTTTTGTTATTGTTATGGCGGAAGCCGCTGGCCAGCTAAATAATTCGGCTGTCAAAACACGTGCAACATGTCGAGAATTGTTTGCTTTCACGCCGAAAATTTACCTCGAGACTATTTCCACAGGTGATTTTTGACTTTTTAATTTTTGTGGAAACACATGCAGCTGAAATAAAAAAATATATCTAAATTTTGTATAATTTCACGGTTTTGATATTAACTTACTTTCATATAAACTTGCTTGCGTGTTGCGTTAATATATAAGTAACTTGTGAATTACGCCAACGTAACGAATTGAAAAAATTCAATGTCAAAATGCTGAAAGAAATCTGCAGCGAATTAGAAGTACATATATATATATGCAAAACTTTATTATTATTATTATTAAAGTAATATTTTAACAGCTTCCATCACATACGTGGTTTTCAGGGAGGTTCTGCAAATAAATTACAATATAGCTAATAGTAATACGTTATAATATATCTTTCTGCAGTATATGTACTAGGAAATTACGATGTAAAAAGTAAAATAAGTCACTACTCAGGGGCGTAGGAAGCTTAGAAAAGTTGGGGGGGAGGGGCAGGCTTTGAGGGGCACTTTAAAAAAAAATAGGGCATCTCAAAAATTTTTTGGCGAACCCCCCCCGTCGCCAAAAAAATTTCGGTCAGTGTACCATTTTAGGGGTAAAAAAATTTTCCGGACATAACATATGTTTCCTTCAATACAAAAAAAATTTTCCGGAAAAACAAATATATAGAGAATAATACATGGGTGCGCGGGAATACCAGATTTATTTCGAGTGTTGAACATGATATCTCACTAGTGAGATATCATGTTCAACACGAGAAATAAATCTGGTATTTCCAAGCACCCATGTATTTTTCTGTTTATTATATAAACAAAATTCAGTGAAAAACAATAAAACGTCCGTGGCAATGCGTTTTACAACAAATGATATTTTCACACGTAAAAATATCGTATTTTTTACGTGTGTTTAAATACGATTTTTCTCAGTGGCCAAAAACTCTATATAACACTTATGTTTATATAATAAATGATATTTTTCTCGGAAACTAAAACATTTTTCGGGAAAAAACCTAGATTAAAGTTTTCAAAAGTTTCGTTTGGACAAAAACTGCGAATTTTATGAAAATGTTTCAGGCACAAAAAGGGCACTTTGCTCCTGGAAAAAGGGCACTTGCCAAAACTTGGGGGGCCCCTCCCCCCCCGGTTCCTACGCCCCTGTCACTACTATAATCCAAAGTTCTTGATATGTTTAAAAGTTATAAAGAAATCGTTTTCTCAAATAGAATTGGGTAAATTGTTCCAATCCTTAAAAATGTAATCTCTATTTTAATGAAAATCTCTATTTTAGTCTGTCACGAATGAAACAGACTAAATGTAATTTTTCTAAATATAGAAACATTTCTATATTTAGAAAATATATTTTAAAAAATTATAGATTCCTTGATACTTAGGACATACCAAGTTACTATTGTGCGGGAGGATACAGGTTTAACATGATATTTGTTTGATGGAAGCAAAATTTTCCAAGGCTGTAAATATCTCTATCGTGCACAAACCCGCCCTGTACGTTTGACAGTCGAATTATTTGGCTGGTCAGCGGCCTCCGCCATAACAACAACAAAATCGAGTTATATAAACGATGGACTGATGGAGGAATTGACTAACATTGCCTGTTCGGACGAAGAATCAAGATTTATATACAAGACTGTGTCTACAATAATCATTAAGATATCGAAAGTGATTAACACTAAAGAATAATGGCAGCTAACGAACGTCAAATAATAAGTCAACTGACAATTCGGGTCATTAAATGACAAGGCTGTCGATCGAGGCATACTTTGTATCAATATAAATATATTGGGGTAGGTTTTCTCTTGACTTTTTAAATAAATCTTCAAAATAAATCGATGTTTGATGATTTGTTGACTAACGGACGTCTTTACATGATGCAAATGTATAACTTGTCTTGATTATATTCAGCTAGAAAGTCGAAAATGTTGATGTTTTGTTGGCCTGTAGTACCTCCAAAATTTACAGGCCGCAATATTTTATTTTGTATTATGTAAGACCAACCTTTAATCTCACCATACAAATAATATTACATTCATAGCAAGTCTAACTTTTGAATTTTAGGGGTTTTATTTCACCCATTTTTAAGGAACTTGGAAATTTCTATTTTAGTCTATCATGAATGATGTCATTTCTATATTTAGAAAACAAATTTGAAAAATTTATAGATACCTTATTACTTAAGACATATAAAGCTACTATTGTCTGGAAAGATTTAGTTTTATGATTATTTTTGTTTGATGTACAGAGGTTTAAAAATCAGCAAAAATCCACTATTGAGAAACGGCAAAAATCGTAATTTTTTCCCTCAACTTCACCCCCCTGGAACTTTGCCAAAATGCAATTAGACTGAAAACAAAATGCATTTTGAAACAACCCTTATAAAGGCAACCTCAACTACAAAGTTTGAGAGAAATCTATTTGTTGATCCAAAGAGGTCATGAGGTTCTTACAGAGACTGCCTCTTAAGCGTGTCTCGCATAACCATCACTTCTCTGTCATAAGTTGGATATGAACGTTCTCGTTTGGTCAATGCACGACTGAAATATGCAACCGGATGTAATTGTCCTTGTGCATCTTCTTGTGATAGTTCACCACCCAGACCCACTTTACTTGCATCCGTGGTAACAACAAAGGGTCGAGTGGGGTCAGGATGGACTAATACTGGAGCTTTAACCAACTCATGTCTTAGTGTATTGAATGCATCATCTTGCTCCTTACCCCAAGTGAATGTGACATCTTTCTCCAAAAGCCATGTTAATGGTCGAGCAATTGTACTAAAATCCTTGATAAACTTCCGATACCACCCAACTGCACCCAAAAACATTTGCACCTCTTTAAGACAAGTTGGTGCAACCCATGCACAAATTGCCTTTACTTTATGTTCCTCTGGCTGCACACCCTTGTTGCAAACTTTGTGTCCAAGAAATTTCACTTCTTTCATTGCGAAAGCACATTTCTTAGCTTTAACTCGTAATCCATGCTGTCGCAATGCATCAAATACTCCCTGGAGATTTACTAAATGTTCCTCAAACGTTTTGCTAATAATACAGATATCATCCATGTACAATGCCAACCGATGTGGTGGAATGTGTCCTAGAACCTTCTGCATCAACGGAGAAAAAGTTGCCGGACTTCCTTTTAAACCATATGCCATTCTTGTCCATTCCCAAAACCCAGTAGGTGATCGAAACGCTGTCTTTGGTCGATCTTCCTTGGCCAGTGGGACCTGCAAATAACCTTGGGCCAAGTCAATAACACTAAAATAGTTAGCACCTGATAGATTGTCTAGAACCTCTTGCAAATTTCCAGTTGGATATGGGTTATTCTGGGTAATTTTGTTAAGTGGTCTGTAGTC